AGAGGAAAGGCAGGGAGGTTAAAGGCAAGGATATGGATTCTTATTACTCTATAGACCATACGCTGCACGCTTGACCACACGCGAGAGCAGCGCTAGAACACGCAGCCTAGGGCTTGAAGAATGCGAAATTGGGTAGCAGCCATACGGGACGTCTCCCTTTCTGCGTATACGTCAAGCGGCTGATACCTGTGACATGGGATCAATAAGTGAAAGCTACGCAGTGTCCTCTAGTCAGTGGAATGAATGTACCTATGACAAAATCTTACACAGAAGCTAGAACACAATGAAGATTGAATGTTGTTTGGTTAGTTGGTTGAAAAAAAAAACTTTCTTAACGTCTTGCAACGTTTATCGTACAGCGGGAGACTCCCACGTCGGGACCATCGCCCGCCAGATTTAAAGGGACACTAATAAATCCTCACCCAAGTACTTCGTACAAATAGTTCACCAGCGAAGCTGTAACGTGCAGCCCTGGCGTTGCGTCGAGACGGCGCTTGATATGTACCTCGGCTGCTACGTCGACGGAAATGTTGCGCGGCAGACATTTCAGGGTGTCTTGCATGTTGATGGGAACGTTGACAACTAGTCCCTAAATCGCATACTTGTTGTTCATTGCCGTGTGTCAATCACCGCATGCACATGAGCGGCAGACGCGGGGCCACTGTCATTCCTCGACGACGTTGAGCCTTGGCGAATGCGAAAGAATCGGTGGATAACGTAGCCGTTCACGGTGCTTAAATCTGGCAGGCTGCCTATGATCAGCGATTTCTTGCACGTCCCACAGACCTGAATCTGCATGACTGATGCCGGGAGCAGCCGGGAACCACCTCCTCAGTACATCCATGTATTGCACCGTCGTTGTACGGACCAGATCCCGTCGATCGTTGCCAGGTTGTTTACAAACTACAGGCGGTCACAGACGTCACAGCCGAAAGTGCCATTAGAGAAACTCCCGCCGAAAGCGGACGTTCGGCCCGGCGAGCGCGCTACCGCAATCATCACGTTGACCATGTTGTGCCCGCTACGGCGCTTGTTCGGCGCGCCGTTGTTGCAACGTTGGCATCGCCAACTAACTAGGCGGCGTGGCTTGCAGGATCAGCCCGCCACCGGCTTTGCATTCCCGCTCGCGATTTAGCACGGCTTGGAAGGATTCCCGGTATGCAGTGGCTGCCTGCACTCGGCGTTCCAGGCCCGTTCTTCTGCCCGGAATTCAGCATCGGCCCGGCCAATGTGAGCTCTCTCCCGGTTCCACTCTAGGCGTTCTTCTGGAGTTGTCTGTGGCTTATCCTCGTGGAAGGTCTCACTCAGTAGAAACGTATGCGCACGTGCTCGACGTCATGGCTGCGACGGGATGGACGACGTCATTCACAACATAGCCGGTGGTGCGTGTGCTTCAAAGAGAGATGTAAACATTTGTTGTAAGAAAAAAATGGCAGATCCTACGTACAGTGGGAATCCATGATACGCGAAGCATGATTGAAGAAGGTTTATATTTGTCACTTTAAAATCAGCACAGCGTTAAGAGGCGGACGTAAATTACGCCGTACATGACTTAAATGTCACGATAATCATGTTTGCTCCAGGAATATGTGTTCGCCGTCCATTGACGTCACGTAATACCAAATTTGATATATGTGAAGCTATCCGAACGGTCGCAAGCGCGCAATGAGTGTAGCATGTAGTCATGTTCTTACATGACACGCATATCATGATTATCGTGTTTGCACCAGTCGCACACCTTCGTCGTCCATTCACGTCACGTAACACCAAATCTGGTATATATGAAGCTAGCGAAATGGTCGCAAGCGCATCATGAGCATGGTTATGTTCTTACATAACACGCATGTCATAATGATCGTGTTTGCACCAGTCATATACCTTCGTCATCCGTTCACGTCACGTAACACCAAATATGGCATAAGTGAAGCTAGCGAAACGGCCGCGAGCGCACTATGAGCTTGGCGTGTAGTCATGACTTATATGACATGCGTGTCGTGATTTCCACGTTAGGGCCTGTCACTTATGCTCGCCATGCAGTCATAATATACAATACCAATTTTGCAATACGTCATATGAACGAAACCACCACAAAAGCAGCAAGACCATGATGTGTAAACCATGATAATCATGACTCACATGTAAGGATTTTCATGTTGTGTCAAGTCACTTATGCTCGTCATAGAGTCATGTTATGCCATATCAATTTTGGTATAGATCCCATTACCGAAATGGCCAGGAGAGCTAAATGTCTTAGGCGGCTAGATAGAGAGATAGACAGGCAGATGCGGTTAATGTCGCCTAAGTTCACTTAGAAATGCTTAGAATTTAAAAAAGAGAGAGGGTTTGGAGGCCAAAACATCACCCCTCTACATGGTGGGCGTCCCTTGTCCGGCACACCGCATGGCGGGGCCCCAGCTCGCGCCCATCTCACTGAAGTGCGTTGAGACTCCTGCAAGGAGCAGTTGAGGAGAGCAGTCTCCCATGCCTCTCGAGAAGGGGCAAAAGAAGGGGGCAGGTGGGGATTCCTTGCTCATGCCCACACCATGTGGAAGATGTCACAGGTCTCCCCACAGTGTGGGCATCGCCGCCCATCCGTGTTCGGATCGAAGTGTTTGACAATTGCAGGACAAAGTAGAGTACCTCTCTGCAAGCGCCTTAAAGTTCGTTCATCCGCTTTACTCGGCTTCCTTGCAGGAGCCGGGAAAAGGCGGTGAGCGTCGCGATAAGCAAATAGAATTTCTTTGATCTGCAACAGCGGTTTATGGGCTTCCGAGTCATAAGAACTGGGGTGAGGAGCCCGGTGGGCAAGCGCCCGGGCGGCCGCGTCAGCGGCCCCATTAACTCGTAAACCCTGACGGACAGGCACCCAAATTATGCGTTTCGGGGTCGGATCAGCGACAGCCCGTCTTAGAGTATGGCTAGCTGGAGGTAGGGGGTGGGTGACTCCCTGCTAGATAGTGAGCGCACGCTATGTTGTAATCCGTTATTATCGTCTTCGAATAGCGATCCGTGGCAGCAAGCGCTATCGCTACTTCTTCAGCCCACTCTGAATTTCGTGCTCGGAAGGAGAGCCCGTTGACGTGCATTCCTTGGTGAACAAAAGCGGCCGTGTAAAATCCCTTAGGCGTCGACCCTGCTATGTCTACATAGTATACACCATGCAGGTCGGGGAGCATGCCGAACCCGCGCTTGTCGCCTGCTTCCATGTGTGTGCATGTGCATGTTAGATGGGAAGCGGAGAGACTCAGAGCGTTTGACGCCAAAGTTCTGGAATACTCTCAGCCTCCTCTGGAGTGCAAGTGTGTTGAATGTGTAATAAGTTGAGCAGGGGGCGCCCGGGGGCCGTCTGCATAAGCCGCGTATAGTGATTTATGAAGTGCGCCTCCCGCCACTCCTGGTGGGTGTTGAGCACACCCAACTCCCTGAGTGTATTGTTGGAGGTAGCCAGCGGGAGATCCAGCGATCGAATAGCGCCGAGTGTCACATACGCGTTCAATCTGAAAACTCTCTCTCTCTCCTGCAAAAAAAAAAAACGTAATAATGCTTTCAAAGTTTTCTGAGCTGAACATGGACTTGGCCTTTGACCCAGAAGCTTGATCCAACAAAGGTTAATCATCCAATCTTTTTAGTGCTTCGGTAAATTACTGTCTTGGCGCACTGAAACGAGTGCAATCACGCGGAGGATGAGCGATTGTTTCTTGGCAGCTTCAGTTATTGCAGCTTTATCCAGTATCTTGTTCTCTTCTCCTTTATATTTCAATCTCTGGCTCTCCTTTCTTTTTTCCTGCCTTTTTAGGTAACATATCTTCCTTGCGATTCTAAAAATCCCCTTACCATCTTCCCCAGCAGAGTGTAGCCAGCCGGTCTGAAAACTGGCTAACCTCCCTGTCCTTCCGCTTATTTCTTTCTTTCTCCCTTCTCTCGCCTGCACGCGACAAGACACGACTCTATATTACTTGTGTCTGTGCGTGTACACCGCGAAAAAGTCGACGAATATGGGCCTCGCAAGCATCTCTCCACCGCGTGCAGCCCGCCAGCGCGACTCGCTAAATACGTGCACGAGTGACAAAAAAAATAAAATAAAGAAGAAAAGAAACGAGTCATTTGATCTACGACTGCGAAGAAGTTGCGCTGCGTTGTCACGACGTTGCGGGACTACATACAACAAGAAAAAAAATCAGAGCTGAAAACGACGAGGTAGGAAAAAAGAAGACTGCCTCTCCCTCTTCTTTATACGCGAGAAAGATGTTGCATACACTCGGAATTGGCATTCAAAGGTGATTCTTTCAAGAAAGGGCTCAGAGCAAAGAGGCGGTAAGGAGGTGTAAAAGGAGGCGGCGGCGCAGGCCCCCATAGCTGTAGCGATGGTCTGTGTGAGATGTCTCGAAGAGTTACGAGCGTCGCCTGCCGCGAGCCGGCAGGTGTAGTAAGCAAACCGTTCCGATAGGACACCTTTAAAACGGTGCAACGCGTTGGTGGCTTTGGGGAACCGGAACCCAGAGATTCAAAGGAAGCGTACGCGATTGACGTTTCCTCCCGCGCTGCACCAACGCATCGCCCGCCTGTGCGGTCGTCTGCTATCGACGACAATTAGCAGACGACGCGGTGAGAAATGAGATTAGGCCTAATCGCGACTTCGATCGTTGAAGATTGCGAACGGAGTACGGTTTCCCGCCGGGGCCGTGCAATCGAGAGGGGATGGGGAGAGATGTATCGTACACCGGTGTCGTAAAGTCTCTAACAAAGATGATGAAGCCATCCCAGGAATGTCCTCAAGCGGAGACAGGATGCAGTTGCAGGTTCAAGTTATAAAGCCCCACTTTCGAAGTCTCCCTCTGATGCAGGCTATAAAAGAGTTCTTTTACGAGACGTAATAAGAGGTGCACGCGGCTATTTTGAAACGTCCCCGCACGCGTCAGCGGTGGTGGTGGAGCTCCGGCAGACCTACGTCGACGTATCTTGTTCTCGCCGAAACGGAGAGCGTACGCTTTTTTCAACAGCGGTGCGGGTGAGGGTGTGATAGAAGGAGAGTGGTGTTTGCGCGTGCGTGTGCCTCCTCTCGTTTTTCGCCTCGCACATCCAGTTGGCTGGCAGGACGAAGAGGCCCCTCCGCTAAGCCTAAACTGGAGAGGGGCTCCCAGCTGGTCGACGACGCTGGGAAGCCAGGGACGGATTGATTGACAAGCGCGTGACGACAGGGTCAAATCTGCGGTGTTGGAGCGCTTAGTTTGGACCCGATTCTGGTAAGATCAACTGTTCTGTGCCTCCTTAAATTTGACAGGGGGAGAAAAAGAAGTTCGTAAACGGACGCAAAGACTGCTCAATGTTTTAGCGAGAAAGGCTCTGTGTAGCGTTTGCAGTGCCTCTGTAGGCGTAGTGTGTTCTTGTCTTCCTGGGACCCTTTGTGGGTCAACAGTGGGTGGAGCGTTGGATTGGCGTGCCTCAGGGACGTTTTTACCGGCCGCCAATTGTAATCACCTTTGGTACAAAGTGACCGAGACTAGTTTGACAGAAGTGATATATACTGGAACCCGTGATGAAACCATGAATCGCGTTTGTACCTTGACAATATCGTCTTTCGTACAAGGCAAGAAAGACGATATTACCAAGGTACCACTAACTTTCGAGAGCAACGTATATAACAGCTGCATCTTAGCAGCACTTACCTACGGGGCAGAAACCTGGAGGCTTACAAAAAGAGTTCAGCTTAAATTGAGGGCGACAGCTGGGAGCGATGAAAAGGAAAATGATAGGTGTAACCATAAGATATAAGAAGAGAGCAGAGTGGATTAGGGAACAAACCAGGGTTAAGGATATCATAGTTGAAATCAAAAAGAAGAAATGGACATGGGCCGGGCATATAGCACTTAGGCGGGATAATCGCTGGTCATTAAGGGTAACCGACTACTTTCCCAGAGAAGGCAAACGCACGAAGTGAAGACAGAAAGTTAGGTGGGCCGATGAGATCAGAAAGTTTGCAGGCATAACGTGGCAACAGAGAGCACAAGACTGGGTTGATTGTCGAATCACGGGAGAAGCCTTTGACCTGCACGGTGCGTTGTCAGGCCAATGATGATGATGATGGTGAATATCTCCCTTGCTTGTGATGCATCGCACTTTACCTCAGGGTTGTTTTCTGATATGCGTAGCTTACGCAATCTGTTGATGGAAACGGTGGATCGACTATTAACATGCTGACTGGATGCATCGGCACCTTGGCCTAAATTTACGATGTGCATTTGCCTAAATTTACCCCTATTCCACAAACCTAAGAGTTCTGGCTGGCCGTGTTCCTCACAAGCACCGTCTTGCTTCCAAGCAGTTCTGCTGGTGGATTGCATACCGTCGCTTCCGCACGCATTGTTATCCGGATTGGCTAAATGCTACGTCTTGTCCCGCGAAAAACAAAAAAAAACACTTAGAAAGTAACTCCAGCTATGTACCGAAACGCTTTGGTTGAACGTGTTATTTTACTTGCTGTACTTTTATTGCAATAGGTCACCCAGGAAATTGGTTTCGAGGCATCCTCAAACGAAACAAAAGAGTTGAGACCATGTAAAAAGTCATGGTTATATACGCAGGAGGATCTGTAGAAAAAATGGCGTTTAAAATACGTGTGGAATCTCCGCAGGTGTGCGAAAAATTGTCGTTTTTGACATCGAAACTGAAAAAAAAAAAAAACATATTACTCACATGTAGTATATGATCAGGCATGACCTCCAAGATCATAGGGTGGTGAAAGATCTCCGAGGCGGCGCGTCTACGTCATAGCGATAGCCACCATGTGCACGCGTCTTCTGCTTAGGCGCCGATTGAAGGCTGCAAACAAAATAAAAAGCTGCATCTTTACGAAGATTGCTTCGGTGGCAAATACTGCACAGGCACTATGAATACTGCCAAGCTGACATGTTGTTGCAGTTTCATGCCCTTTTGAAGTAGTAGCGAGACGATATTCGAATATTTTCGGGGTTGTTACCCTAAATAACAACACGGTTGCCGAGAGCCCCAAACTGGCTGCCATAGCGCCCGGGAATGCATGATACTATATATATATATATATATATATATATATATATATATATATATATATATATATATATATATATATATATATATATATATATATATATATATATATATATATATATATATATATATATATATATATATATATACCGGTTTCGGTATCGAGGGGGTGGCGTCACAGTGACGTGTCCACACACGTGTGACGTCACGAAAAGACTTCAACTCGCGACATACTAGCTGTCCGTTTGCTGTCAGTTGCACGTCATTCTTATAAAGCACGACGAAGAGAGAATTGTCATACAGAGACTCTTTGGGCTGCACGGAGAGCGCAGATGTCGCAGACCCATGTGAACTGTGTTTCCTTATCCTGATAACGTTCATTGTGGCGGGGCCAGTTTGCAAATGCTGGGCGACGAAAACTATAAAATCAAAGTAAATATTTCTATACGTGTTCCCTGGCGCCGGTGTGTAGAGAACATTGAGCGTTCATATAGTGCACGAAATGGAAACAAAAAAAAAACATCTTTGCTGTGCTTCAAATCGGGTCAGTACTTCAGTAAGCTTCCTTGTAGCGCGCGCAAACAACAGGAAGAAATGTAGGCACATGTATGCAGAAGACAGACATGTGCGTTCACTTCTTCCTGTTGTTTACGCGCGCTAGTAGAAAACTTACTGAAGATGAGCTACCAACAAAACTGCATCACATCTCTCGTGTCAGTACTCCTTCGAAAGCGGAATAACGATCTTAAAACGTGCGACACATTTCACAGGTAGCGCTCGATGGCCTATTAAGTATAGTGCTCTGAACAGGGTTCCCGAAACCACGACGCGTCTCCGGCAGGAAGGAGTCCGCGAAGATGCGCCTTCGCGGCACATCGTTCCAATCAAACGTGCACTTCAGGTCTTGTGCTTGGTGTCGCTGCATGCAGCTACGCCGTCGCCCAACAAAAACCGTACGCGGAAAAAAATCCCGGGGAGATGCGTTTTATCCCGAACCGCCCCCTGCTCCGTTCGCAGAAATCGAGCCTGAAGCAGCCACATGCAGCAATCAGAGTGCAAGAAGAAGTGCCGTCTTTTATTTCGTTCCTTCTTTTACTTCTCTTGTAGCGCCCACACTGCCGCTGGTTCTCCTTCCTTTTTTTGATTCTTCACTGACAAGAGCGTGCCGCGCGCGTCGGCTATGCAGACGACAAAGGAACCCCGGGAGCAGACGATCGTTGCCGTGGGCCATGCAGACGACGCGGAAGTTCTCACTGCTGCCGCTGCTGGCGATAGCGGCACTGGTGCCTCATGCAGAAGCCAAGATAGAACAAGTGAAGAGGGCCTGTGTTGAAGGTGAGATTTCGTTTTCAACGACGGAGCTGTCTAAGATGTTAAATAGCCTTTAGCATTAGGAGTAAACAATTGGAGAACTAATGACCGATTCAGAGCAACATACTTGACTGTTCCTGCGTGTGGACTAATCATTGATTGCATCCTTCTAAGGTGTCACAAGCGCACTAAATAGATGACCAATCAAAATAACAGCCCTTTCGACCTAGCCGTTTAGAATTGACGCGTAGCAAAAAGAGCCCGTGTAATGTCGGGCTAACTGCTTTCTTTGGGAGTTTCTGTTAGTAGCCAAGTAGCAGTAGTGAAAAGAAAAAAAAAACCATTGACTGATGGATGACTAAGGTGATTCTGCATTTCTAATAATTGTCGTATATCTTATATGCCATTAGCTATCATTAGTATGAAGTAAACAATACAGCGCTCAAATCAAGGATGAAAAGAGAACGAACGAAGCCAGCGCAGACTAACCTGTCGTTTGTTCCCTTATTGTTCTTCCTTCGCGTATTGTCGTTTATTTCAAAATATGCGACACCCCCGATGTCGTAACCTTTTGGAGCTATCGTTAAGACAAGTGACGCCTTGACCCCCCCCCCCCCCCCCCGACGGAAGTATGAGCTAATCAGAATGACGTCATTGTACGTGACGTAGGATGAAGTACTGGAGCTCTTCGTTTGTGGTTCAGTCAGTGTACACCAGTGGAGATCATAAAATTGCGCCGCACGGTTCTAACATGGTTCTAACCGAGCTCTAGTTATAAGATGTTGCCACGCCGGTCAATTAGGTTATAGCAGATCCAAGTTTAAATATATCAGCTTCGACGTACACTTCATTTCACAAGCTTTCTAGTAAGTGCAAGCACCGGAATGTAAGCTATGTCAGAGATGACTATTCCGAAACTATGAATTCGTAACTCAATAAAGGTCCGCACAGAAAAAAGTTAGCACATCTCGCGCCATGTTCCGCAATTAAGTCTGGTTCACAGGCTATACAGAGCTGGAGGGCACCTTGCCAACACATGGTGTTGGCTCTCTGCCTGCGAAAGGAAAAGGTGGTGTTGACCTAGCTCGCCCCGACTTGGCTAGGCTTTCCATCCTCTCGCATATCTCTCTCTTCCCTTGCCATACCATATTTTCCACAGCCACGCACGCTCTATTATTCATCTTTTTTAGCCGGTCTTTCTATCTCTTTTCCTGTATGCCTGTAGGCATTTGTATCTATTTCTCTGTAAGCCAGTAGACATTTTTATCTCAGTCTCTGTATGCTTTAAGTCAAACTGTCGCGCGTAAGCACTTTTGAAAAAAGAAGAAGACACATTGCAACAAAAAAATAAAAACTCGCAATAAGGACACTTATAAGTAGTTCAAAAAGTTAGGTAAATGTATCAAACACTAGTATTGCTCTCTACAGAACCTATCGTCCACATTCACCCAGTGGCGAACCCAGAGGGGGGGGGGGGGGCAGTAGGGACGATCGAACTGCCCCAAAGCCTGTCGGCACCCCCTCCTCCTCTCTTTGGTGCTTGCCGCACACCTGCTGTCACCAATCAGGACAAATGAGTGGGATCACTTTGACCACATTTTACAGTATTTATGCTATGCCAGAGTTTTTGTGCTCGTAAAAACAAAAAGTAATGACCACGACCCCTTCTCCGCTGTTACTTCGAGCGACCGCCGCCCTCCTCTACCCTTAAATGAGTGGCTGGATCCGCCGCTGCATTCACCCCAATGTTGCTTTTGATGATCGCATTTTTATAACTACTTCCGTGAAGCTCACAGTTATAAAAATGCCACAGAAGCATTCCAAACACTCTTCTGCAGCTTCCTTTTGTCACTCTTTTTTTTTATCTCACGATAAAAGACGAATGCACACGAAAGCAAAGAGACCAAACTAAAAGCAGACAGCCACAGCACCGAACACATGAGCAGGTCGTTAAGCGAACTTAGACAAAACACCGCGGTAGCTTTACGACTTTTGATTCCGAGAGCTCCACCGGCAAGACTGTATAGATGCGTCTTCCAGGGAAATTTTCGGAGAACCCTGCATATGCGCCGACCCGTTGGCAATTAACGAATATATTCGTTCCATGGCGCACCAAGAATTAAACTTGGAGGGGCACTTGACGCTTCACACGAATCATCACGAGAGGGACACTGGGGTCGTTAAGTGGCTGCCTCTCGCCAGTCGGTGGCTTCATACCAATGTATGTACGTATGCATGTATGTATGTATGTATGTATGTATGTATGTATGTATGTATGTATGTATGTATGTATCTATGTATGTATCTATGTATGTATCTATGTATGTATCTATGTATGTATCTATGTATGTATCTATGTATGCATCTATGTATGCATCTATGTATGCATCTATGTATGCTATCTATGTATGTATCTATGTATGTATCTATGTATGTATTCTATGTATGCATCTATAGTATGCATCTATATATGCATCTATATATGCATCTATATATGCATCTATATATGCATCTATATATGCATCATGATATGTATGCATCATTATGCATCTATGTATGCATCTATGTATGCATCTATTATGCATCTATGTATGCATGCTATGTATGCATCTATGTATGCATGTATGTATGCATGTATGTATGCATGTATGTATGCATGTATGTATGCATCTATGTATGCATCTATGTATGCATCTATGTATGCATCTATGTATGCATCTATGTATGCATCTATGTATGCATCTATGTATGTATGCATCTATGTATGTATGCATCTATGTATGTATGCATGTATGTATGTATGCATGTATGTATGTATGCATGTATGTATGCATGTATGTATGTATGATGTATGTATGTATGTATGTATGTATGTATGTATGTATTATGTATGTATGTATCTATGTATGCATCTATGTATGCATCTATGTATGCATCTATATATGCATCTATGTATGTATGCATCTATGTATGTATGCATGTATGTATGCATGTATGTATGTATGTATGTATGTATATGTATGTATGTATGATGTATGTATGTATGTATGTGTATGTATGTATGTATCTATGTATGCATCTATATATGCATGTATGTATGCATGTATGTATGCATGTATGCATGTACGCATGTACGCATGTACCTATGTATGCATGTATGCATGCATGCATGCATGTATGTATTGAAACTGTCAAAGGAGTCCTGACGCAAAACTTTTTAGTGCCGTTTTGGTTTTGTTTTTCAAGTTAAACGACAGGCCCTCGAGAACTTAAAAAATGAGCTGGCAAGCATGAGTGCCCCCTGAAAAACGCTTGCGTCCATGTATGTGATTCACGCAAACAAAAAATCGGCTTTAAAATCAAAATATCTTATCAGCATTTACTGATCCTCGAAGAGTCCCAGCCGTCATTGCGTACATGAGATTTCTACGACAGAGTAAACTCAGTTTCGAAACTTTGTATCAGCACCTCTTCAGCGGGTTATGAAAGGTGGAACGGCATGCGGAAGTTGTCTAATCGAGACGAGGACACAGTTATGTCCACACGGACACAAACGCACAGACAGAAAGACAGACAGACAGACAGACAGACAGACAGACACAAACGCACAGACAGACAGACAGACAGACAGACAGACAGACAGACACAAACGCACAGACAGACAGACACAAACGCACAGACAGACAGACAGACAGACAGAGAGAAACAGACAGACAGACAGACACAAACGCACAGACAGACAGACAGACAGACAGACAGACACAAACGCACAGACAGACAGACACAAACGCACAGACAGACAGACAGACAGACAGAGAGAAACAGACAGACACATACAGACACAGACAGACACAGACAGACAGACAGACAGACAGACAGACAGACAGACAGACAGACAGACAGAGAGAAACAGACAGACACATACAGACACAGACAGACACAGACAGACAGACAGACAGACAGACAGACAGACAGACAGACAGACAGACAGACAGACAGACAGACAGACAGACAGACAGACAGACAGACAGATAGATAGATAGATAGATAGATAGATAGATAGATAGATAGATAGATAGATAGATAGATAGATAGATAGATAGATAGATAGATAGATAGATAGATAGATAGATAGATAGATAGATAGATAGATAGATCCCCTATCTTCGCAATGAATATGTCCCGTCGTGGAGCCACGCCGCGAACGTGCCGCGCCTTTAGTAAAAGTTGGGGGCAGGTGGCGCCACATTCTCGGAAGGCTGCGCCATTTCCTTTTTCAATCGGACGTGTATTTCCGGGAATATTACGGGAGCGATTTTTCACTCCTGTTCAATCGGCGCTACAGCATTTCAATAGCTCCGCCAATTGGTACATTGACACATCGTAATCAAAGAAGTTTATATCACGCAAGTCGTACGTACGTTGCGCATAAGAAGACTAGGAACTACTTACACAAAGCGCTTCTTGGGATACAACGTGCATCATCGTCAGCGTGTCCATGTGACTCAGACGACGAGGCTGTGTGTGTCATCTGTTGCTCGACTGTCCCAAACACGTCACACATAGACGGACACTCGAGCTTTGCTTGATTGATTGATATGTGGAGTTTAACGTACCAAAACCATCATATTGATTGATTGATTGATTGATTGATTGATTGATTGATTGATTGATTGATTGATTGATTGATATGTGGGGTTTAACGTCCCAAAACCACCATATGATTATGAGAGACGCCGTAGTGGAGGGCTCCAGAAATTTTGACCACCTGGGGTTCTTTAACGTGCACCCAAATCTGAGCACACGGGCCTCGACATTTCCGCCTCCATCGGAAATGCAGCCGCCGCAGCCGGGATTTGAACCCGCGACCTGCGGGTCAGCAGCCGAGTACCTTAGCCACTAGACCACCGCGGCGGGGCCCAAAACCATCATATGATTATGAGAGACGCCGTAGTGGAGGGCTCTGGAAATTTCCACCACCTGTGGTTCTTTAACGTGCACCCAAATCTGAGCACACGGGCGTACAACATTTCCGCCTCCATCGGAAATGCAGCCGCCACAACCGGAATTCGATCCCGCGACCTGTGGGTCAGCAGCCGACTACCTTAGCCACTAGACCACCGCGGCGGGGCGGACACTCAAGCAGGAACTTTACAGGCTATAGGTTCGGAACTACAGTTTTCACTGGCAAAAATATTAGGCCCGTGTTCAACGACCACAAAGTGATAAAAGTGTTTCAAGGCCGTTTTTTTCTTTTTTTTTTCTTTTGAGGACACCAAGATATTTGATGAATATTGAGGGGACTAAAGCAAAAGTGTGCAGTGCTACTTTGTGTTCGCCCTGCCAAAAAAAAAAAAAGAAATTTTGAACTCGGCGATGTAGGATTGCATACATGTACCGTAAAATGTCGAGCAAGCGCTCCCCCTACGGTGAAGGATAATCCGACCCGACTCGGGAAGGGGGTGCTCGGTCTCGGAGCGAAATTCAACATGGTGGCTGAAGAGCCGTTAAAACTAAAATTTAAAAGAAATGGCTAATCATTTTTCCAACAAAATGCTCTTTATTAAACCATTTCATAAACGACATTAAAGCGCCGTCCCGGTGTTCTAGTGGCTAAGGCACTCGGCTACTGCTCCGAAGATCGCGGGATCGAATCTTGGCTCAGGCGGCTGCAATTTCGGTAGAGGCGAAAATGCTGTAGACTTGTGTGCTCAGGTTTGGGTGCATGCTGAAGAAGCCCCCATGTGGTCGAAATTTCCGGAGCCAACCACTACCTCGTTTCTTATAATCATATGGTGGTTATGGGACGTTAAACCCCAGAAATAATAATAATAATAATAATAATAATAATAATAATAATAATAATAATAATAATAATAATAATAATAGTTTATTATTATTATTATTATTATTATTATTATTATTATTATTATTATTATTATTATTATTATTATTATTATTATATTATTATTATTATTATTATTATTATTATTATTATTATTATTATTATTATTATTATTATTATTATTATTATTATTATTTTAAACGTTACATACGTATTCAGTGTGCTCAATCTTGTGGTTCTAATACAAGCCATACTCATCGTGAAAAACAAAAACATCGCCGCAGGGGAAAGGGGAGGAGGAGTGAGGGCACCTCTTCAATCAGTCGTTCATTTCCGATATCGCAACAACCAAGTGGCAAGGGGTAGCCGCCTCCAAGCAGTGGTGACAACTGCTTCATTTCATTTTTTTTCTATTTGAATATTTTTTTTACTTTTGCATTTCGTTCAGATATATTCTAAAGTTTATTCTACATGTACATTTTCATGTAAGTCTAATAACCTTAACTCACCCAATTGTTGGCAATCCCAGCAAACAGAGTGTGAATCCGATTGAGGCAGCAGTTTCTTGGAAGACGGAAGGAAGCTTGAAGAGCTGAAAAATCATTGGAACACGGGTTGCAGCTGGAGGCATTTGTTTCGACAAGTGGTTTTGTCTTCTTCAAGACAGCAATCGAAGCACTCTCGAGAAAGGCGAGACCCAATTCGCGCCTAACAAGGCAACCTGTAATTACGCTTGCAGCCAGCTACTCAGACGAGGGCAGAAAGGGGAGAGGACGCACCGCTGGACTATAACAGCTGAAAGTGTGCCATAATTTTCCTTGCATATTTATACCATTTGATAGCAAATTCGATGCTCACTGCTTTCCATGATTTTTTTTATTAATCGTCATCATCATCATCATCAGCCTGACTACGTCCACTGCAGGACAAAGGCCTCTCGCATGTTCCACCAGTCAACTCGGTCCTGTGATTGCTGCTGCCAATTTATACCCGCAAACTTCTTAATCTCGTCTGCCCATCTAACCTTCTGTCTCCCCCCAACCCGCTTCCCTTCTCTGGAAATGCAGTTAGTTACCCTTAACGACCAGCGGTTATCCTGTCTACGCGCTACATGCCCGGCCCATGTCCATTTCCTCTTCTTTATTTCAAATATGATATCCTTAACCCCGGTTTGTTCCCTAATCCACTCTGCTATATTCTTGTCTCTTAAGGTTACACCTACCATTTTCTTTTCCAGTGCTCGCTGCGTCGTCCTCAATTTAAGCTGAACCTTCTTTGTAAGTCTCCAGGTTTCCGCTCCGTAGCCAAGTATCAGCAAGATACAGCTGTTATATACCTCTTTCTTGAGGGATGGTGGCAATCTACCTGTCATAATTTGAGGGAGCTCGCCAAATGTGCTGCACCATATTCTTTGTATTTTTATTTTTCATTTTTTTTTAGTGCGCAGAAGTAAACAATCTGGGACTTAGTGAGCATCGCATTCGCTATCAAATTTTATACTTGAGCTTTTTTTTTTTTAAACGGGCCAAATTCAAAACGAAACTAGCTCAAATAGGGCTGTATTGGCAAACAAATACTCTCGACGTTCCTCGGAAACAGGAATAATAGATTAGCACTAATAATTAGCAATTTATTTTTACTGTTTTAGGGGAAAGTTGACAGTATGTATGCGCCAATACAGCCTTATTCGAACTAGTTTCGGTTTTGGATTTGGCCCATTTCGAAAAAAAAAAAAAAGCAGCTCCTCAATTGTGTAAGGAGAGTATGGATAGACGTTCATCGACTATATAACCTAGTGATGTGTACTCCCTCCGTCTTTTCACATCCAAGTAGTTAGCTGGAAACCCTTCACCCTTGCAAGAAGAAAACGAGCCCTACAGTTCGCGTTATTTCGTACCCCACATTCCATAATACTTGATCTCTTCAAACTGAGTGTCAGCCAAAAAACAAGTAAACAACGAAATAATGGTTGTCGTGGTCGCACAAGAGAAGCCACTAAGTCAAGCAGATGAACCAACAACGAAGCATATGTAGGCCAAGGAATGTTACAATACTGACCAATAGACTAACTACCTCTCAAAGTGCTTGGGCCGTGGGTGCACACCCTGAAAAACACGAGCTGTGCAGCGAACGCTATGTGCACCTTAGGCAGTACGGAATGCCTGCATTCGTTATAGGCATTGCATGAAGCATCCTGTAATATAACACTCTTTCTCTTCTCTCATCTTTATACTGCAAACTACTCCCCTAGCGCAGGTTAGTCAACCGGTCATGTGCCTGATTAACTATAGTTAACCTGCTTTCTCTCTCGTTGTCCTTCCTTCCTTTGTGACAGACCCTACTGTTTTTCTTCGTTGTGTTATTTACATTTCTTTGATTCCCGGCCCATCGCAGGCTCAGCTTTGCCTACAAATGCCTTAAAAATGCCGCTGAGGACTCCATCCACACCGTCATGAGTGATTACGCCCAAAGAGTTCATATAAAGGCGGAATGCTAAGAGTACCTCGTGAAACGAAGAAACTGACCGTCTGCGGCGTCGACATAAGTGCTGCGAAAATTCATTGCAAGGTGACTTCACCGTATGGCGTCACAGATCACCAAATTCGTGACGTCATTGGCGTGACAACGTCCCCCGGTTGAAAGTGGACCGATCCCGGAGGCCATGGAAATAAACGCGGAGCTCGAAAAGCTTGTAGTTCCTCCGATTTCGGAGGCATTGTGAAATTACGATACGAGCAGAAATCTTTCGGGTATAGCTAAAAATAAAACGGCTTTCGCTATCGAGTCGTATTAGGCGGATGCATATGGCGAATGCATATTAGGCGAATGATTGATTGATTGATTTGTGGGGTTTAACGTCCCAAAACCACCATTTGATTATGAGAGACGCCGTAGTGGAGGGCTCCGGAAATTTTGACCACCTGGGGTTCTTTAACGTGCACCCAAATCTGAGTACACGGGCCTACAACATTTCCGCCTCCATCGGAAATGCAGCCGCCGCAGCCGGGAATCGAACCCGCGACCTGCGGGTCAGCAGCCGAGTACCTTAGCCACTAGACCACCACGGCGGGGCCATATTAGGCGAATGCATAAGAGACCTTGAGAACTTTCTGTCCACTTGTGATTTTGTACACGTTGTTTTATGTCTTCTCTTTTTTTCCCTCGGTTATTACAACTTTGACTTATAACCTTATGAAATTACTCAGTGTACTACATAGCTTCATTAGTTGGCGTTCGGCTCCAGTATCAAGGGGACCAATCGCATTAATAAAAACAAATGATACCCATCCGTCCATTCAGTTAAGCCTATAAAAGGGCATGTACGTATGATACTTAGACGGTCGGGCCTAATTAAATGTGGCGTTCAGTCACACACGCATAATATTATAGCTTCCTCTTTGCGATTTCAGTGGAAGTCGTGGCGGACAAGTGTGCCAGGCAGCACTACTCCACTTACAAGGTGAGTGTGCAGGCTGTGTATAAGCGGTATCCGGATGAACCCACCTCGTTTCCTGTATAATCTGCACGATATCACCATGGTGGTTTCACGTACAAGACATGTCGCCGTCCATTATAACGACGTTTTGATTGTTAAAGGGACAGACAATTGGGCAGAACACGAATTGAGAAAACATCGCTTATGATGGGAAGATTGTCTATTGTATTGTCTGCAAAACAAACCCGGTTTTTTTTTTCCTTGTGAAACGCCGCATATACGCATTTCTTTCTGCACACAGACTTGCTTTTGGCAATTCAAACGGTCGAGAAAAAAAAGTGATAACGCACTCATTGACGATCACGTGACCTTTTATAGGTGTACGCTATTATTTGTTTCTAAATTTGCATTAAAATCAAGCACACTGTTCGTAATTTCTTGTTTGTTATCCTCTGCACAGTTACCCGTTTTTTATGTAAGCATAAGATACCATGTGTATTTCCCCCTGCAATAATGCCGTCGGATGGTGTAGCCATTTTGAATGAATGAATAAATAAAAAATGAATAAATGAATAAAATAATATTTTAAGTCTAAAATATGCAATTGTACCATGTGGCAAAGCAACCTGACGTGACGACGACTGTTCCGAAAGCTGCTTCTTATATCGAAAATGGTCGAAGATATCGATATGAAGGTGGTTAAAAACAGTTTTGCTCACTCGTAGCAAAGCAGAACATTGAGTGTAAGCGAGGAGACCTCATGGGCATCGCCATCACTTCACCGCGTTGCTGGGGGACATCTTCGTCCACTTCAGAAGCTTCAGGAATCGAAAAATAGTGCTTATAAAAAAAAACGCGCTTTTGGGATCAACCGCTGCAGCTACGAACACTACGAAGCGTGAGCTCTCTGCTGTGTTGTGAAAAAAACTGGGGTCGAGAAAAATCGGTTGACAGACCCTGCAGCAATTTCTCTATTTTCACATTCTAAAAAAAATATGTACGGGCACTCAGAACGGTGGTGCAAAAAAATTACGTGGTTCTGTTCAAAAATTAAGTTTCGATGTTTTATTTTTTTGTGTGGCTGCCGAAAAACCGAAAATGACATGTGTGGACACATAATTTCATTCTTACTTTCAAAACCTGATTTAAGTGTTTTTTTAAAAGCTCGCAACTTTCGAACGAATGGATATTTTCAAACAAAACTTTCTATGCTTAAGTTCTTACTGAAACAATAATCTAGGCAAAGAACTAGGATAATTAAGAGCGATTAATAAGGATTTCCGACTATGTGACATTTCATATTGATGACATCGCAAAGATCCTATAGTTCGTTTCACAGACTGCACAGCGATTATGCTGCCAATCCATTTAATTTTCGCGTGGTACGATTGGTGAGTAAAAGCCTGTTGGCGCGTTTTGGGTAATTTTAGTAGTTATATAATTAGTTTTCAAGCTTTTTCACTTAAAACGCTTGAAGTGTCTTTTCAACAATCCATTCTAACGCAGGCACAAAATAAATTATTTTGGATCAAAATAAAAAAAACAATCCTAAAAAGATGGTGACATACCTAAAATATTTTTGAAAGAACCATTCCGATTGAAGATTAGGGGGGCGGAAGACGAGAGAAGCGTTTTGATGTGCTTGCTTCCTATGCCACCACAAACATGGCACGCAGTTATTTTGCCCTTTCTTTTTCTAAATACCACGCAAATGTCTTACATTAAAGTACCTTTCATGATAATATATTTATCACACGCTACTGCTAAGTGAAACAGAATGAATGGATATGCAAAACGACAAATTAATCGAATAAATAAACCGTACGCTTAGGTTACAAAGACGAATACCAGCGAGGACTGCGCAAGAAGAGATATATGCATGCGATTTTAACCAAGTATCGTATAGTTTTTCGCTGAAGCGGTCTCTGAATGAAATTACGTCACAAAGGCACGCCAAGGTATGGACATGACGTTCCCACTTAGACAGAATAGGCAGCTGTTTACTTTAAACGCGCGTGGGTTGGGGCCGTTCCACGCGCTTCCCGCACAGCCGCAGCGCACGTGCCACGACCCCTACCGCATGCAAGCGGGGATCAAATAAGCCAATGGGCGACGCTGCGGAGGGTGAAAGAGCGCCGCCAATTGGCTTATTTGTGCCCCGCTTGCGTGCGGTAGGGGTCCCGGCACGTGCGCTGCGGCTGTGCGGGAAGCGCGTGGAAAGGCCCCTAACGGTGCACTTTAAGCCGCGACTACGGAATTTCAGCTAGATCATTTAAAAAAATAACGAAAGAGTTCCTAGTGGATGAAAGCGATGCTTTTCTTGATTGTTGAAATTTGTAGTTAATGATGTTTTTGTATTCGTTGCACCTTGTTCATTATTGTTCCTTGCCTGTTGTTTATTATACTCTAATTTGTCTTGTAGAGCAACTCGATTTCCTAGTCAAGATGTTTCTTGTTAATTTATTTAATAGAGGGCTTGCATTTGTTTGTGATTGCCACCACTCGAATGAGGACTGTTTGTATTTCTGTTCTTTTGTTCACACTTCTGGCAGTTCCTGTTTGACTATGGTACCCGTGTAAGATAACACGTGATGTTGTAAGTTCCTGAGTACTGTGCTTGCGGTATGTTTCTGCTTTGCGGCCAGGGTGGCACGACCAAGTCAGGCTTTTACTTAGCCTTTAGTCGTGTCCCCCAAGGCAATCTTGTTCAATTTTGCCTTGAATAAAAGCAAACCAAACCAAACTATATATACGCAGCTACGAGCGTTCGTCACCAACACGGGACCCGTGACATCGCAGTTGGTGAATCGGATCACTCGTGTTGGTTTTCGGGCATATACAGTTTCCAGTGGTGACATTGCGTCACGAGCGAAGTGAACACTCATGACGTCACTGTGAAAGTGACTCTCCGCAACAACTGAAGTATAAGCTTCCTGAAAGCGCGTAACGCAACAAGCTTTCATCACAAAGTTGTTGCATCACTTGCGGTTGAAGGAAAAGCTCGAAGTCACTACAAATAGTCGGTTGCAACGTAAGAACACAAGCTCCGCCCACAGAACCACGCCGATCTTGGTAGTCACCTATGCAAGAGAGTCATGCAAGCTATAGAGTTCTTTGGAAACGGATGTACTCTTTCTTGTGTGTGTGATGTCGTGCATGTCAAAAACTAAACGTTCACTGTTTGTACCCATGATGTGACCCTTGCCTAAGGAGTGTTGTCAGAATATTTGATTAAATTCGCCAGAACGTCCTATTTTTTTTACTTAAACGAGCAACTGCATGCGGATAAACTCTTCATGCCTATAGTCCTATGGAACCTCATTTTGTATATGCTACCCTCAATATGTCTTTATTACGAATAAAACTCATTGATTGGTTGGCTGAATGATTCATGCGGACCTGTGTCCGTACGGGAACATCTGAAGCACGCGAAAAGTGCTTGATGTCGCGGAAGTGAACGAATGTGATTGGTTGGAACGGCTACGCAAATTCTTTCTATAGTTGAAACAGTGATGGCTGTAGGAGGAGCACGAATTTATTCGCCAGTTGTAAACCATTACAGCGTGCGAAAACGGGTTCTATAGACGCTTCCGTGCTGTTGTGAACTGACAGACGTGCAAATCTATCCGTGCATGCGCCCAGCTGGACCACTCGAAGACGCAGCCGTTCGTGAAGAAGTGCTTCTCGGACCGGGCACACGTCACCGACCTGATGCTGGACTGCGCCGAACCAATGGCGGTACGTGGCGGATTCAGTTTCTTGCAGATTAAACGGTCGAAGAGTCTCCATAGTTAAGATATTCGGGGGGTGTAACGTTGAATCGGCTTGGGTGGGGCAGGATGAATAGGAAATCGTGAGAGACCCTTTGGTCCCGCAGAGGACGCAGGTTCCGCTATAGCTAAGTATGACAAAAAGTGCACCCTTGCAATTTTTTAACAGTATCGCGGGAACGCTGAGCGCGGGATGTGGTAGTGTCCAACATTCCTTTGAATCTGCACGAACAGTTTATCTTTCAATTGATTTGTGCGCTACTTGCTGCCCGCATGCCGAGATGCTGCAGTCGCATAGGCCACACGGCCTTTAGCTGCTGCTTCCTTTCTGTTGTAAACAGGAGATACGAATTCGGTTTTCAAGATTTACGAGATAGATCTGCTGACGATCAGCAAACGCACAAAGCCCTGAGAATTGCGAGCGCTGCCTGCTACGCTGATACCCGAAACGAGCGACATCAGTGGCCGTGTCTCGGCGTCCTCGACGCTCACGCTTTCGAGGTGGACGCGTATGGCATAAAAAAAATATCACGGCATATCCACGATGTGAATGGCGAAGAGCGAACGAAGCGGTGGGCTCGTTCGTCGTTACCGTAAATCACCTGTGACACTGCCCACTCACGCATGTAAATGAGTGACAAAGCGATGTACAAGTGAAATAAAATGTTTATTGCTCATAAACGGTATGGTAGTTTTGAGTTGTGAATTTAGTTTTGCCTTTATTATTACTGATTTCTGGCATCGGATGTAGCCTGTAACGAGAAATTGTGGCTCTTAGAATATCGAGGTTGGGAGCGCCGACTACCTCACCAATCTACAAGGCTGTTTGCAGGTTTAGAAACACTTTACCAACACAAGAAACACACACACTAACCCATTACTGTACAAACGCAGAGAAAGCCCGCACTAACCAATTATCGTATTTAACCGGACACAGAAGACATGCGCTCTAAAGTGACATAGGCTCACCCACTTTACTGCTCAGGAGGGAGGCGTAACGTTGAGCCATCGTGACTAGATGAGGTGCTGAGCGGTGAGAGGGCTGCTTCCGGGAGGTGGGCAGAGCCACTTGCAAGGGAGCTAGATGCTTGCAGTTGTGAATGTAGTTGGCGGTCACGTGACGCCAGTAGCCTCAACTGTTGGACGTTAATGTACGACGCTCACGTTCGGCTACCCGGCTGCCTCTGAAGACTCGCACCATATCTTGCTCCCGTGCCCTACTCCACGTGTTCGCGTCTCTCCTGCGCGTCCATCAGCGTCATCGTCACCTTCGTATGTCACACACTCAGGCCCGATCGCTGCTTGGAAATACTGAATGCAGGAACAGCACAACCTAGAAGTAGTTACTTCGTAACTACGGAAGCGAAAAACAAGGACAGAAAAGAGCGCTGACTTTCAACAAAGATTTAATGCCGGAGTGGTGTACATATATAGGCGAAAAATGAAAAAAAATGGGCATGCGTAGAAGGGTGCAGGAACATTTACTGCGATACAATGTCAGCAAAACTCTTGTCTCTTGTTGAATGGGCTGAAAAAACAAATACATATGTAACTTAAAAAAGAACGAGATACGCAATCTCCTTTTGCAACAACGCAACCGATGGGCAACTTACACATTTACCGTCAAACTTGTTTACTTGATAAGCTTCAATTATCTCACGCGTGGCCTGGGAGTTGTGCTTGCTTAATACCTCGCAACGCTCAAAAACTGGCACGCAGCCGCAGTCTCGGCAGTGGATTCCGAGGTGTCTTTGAACTACGTTGTGTGCATTGTTATTGTGCTCTCTTAAATGGTCATTAAGGCACCTTCCGGTTTGCCCCATGTATACCATTCCGCACGAAAGCGGAATGAGATATACGACACCAATAACACAAGGTACAAAGCGCGTTCTGTGTTTCACAGTGCATCTTCCTTTAATAGCAGCTGGATTATTCACCAGCTTACAAAGCTTTGTAAGCTTTTCTGGGGCGGAAAAAATAAAAGTGACACCAGCGCGTTTACCGATTTTTTTCAGCCGATGCGACACTTGCAGAGCGCTGACTTTGTTGAAAGTCAGCGCTCTTTTCTGTCTTCGTTTTTCGCTTCCGTAGTTACGAAGTAACTACTTCTAGGTTGCGCTGTTCCTGCATTTAGTTATGTCCTACCAACTTGCCCAAGCTACCGCGCTTCATAAAATCCACGCTGCTTGGCACGCGCACCACATAGCCTGAAGTTGGCAACGATGGAGTTTGTGCTCGGTCAAATTGTTATTGAACCCCAAGTGGTCACAAACCTTGCAGCTGTGCTCGGATCTCCGGTCCAGGAAATCGCGCTTTAACGGCGAGTCCGCGCCATCTGTGCCGGGTCGCAGAAATTGCTTCAAGTGTTTCGTTGCCTTCGCCGCCGACTCGCGTTGCTGCTTGCCGCGGCGTTGACGTAGCGCTTGGGGCGCACGGGCCCTCGTTGCTTCCTTGGATTCTTGCAGACGGCGTTTACGGCGCGCTTCCGTTGCTCTCGCTCGAATTTCGCGGTCAGTTTGCCGCCGCGGCCGTAGCTCGAGCCCTCTTCTCCGCAACAGTAGCAGCAGCTGGCTAGCAGCATTGTTGCCGGTGGCGCCATTTGTGGCGTTGACTGCGGCGTTGCGCCGGGAGGAGATTGAGCGTAGTTCGCGCTGTTCATTTTCATCTAGCGGAACTGCCGTGGCGCCTCTAGCGGTCTCCAACGGAAGCTTGCACGAACTCTTACGCGTGCGCAGTGGAGGTACGTACGGACGGCGCAGGGAGGGAACAGGCTCGACTACAAGCTGCTTCACATCTTTAAAAAATAATAAAAGCAAACTGACCACACGCAGCTAAAAGCGCCGACATCTAACGCGCCTAGAACAACGACACAACTGAGGCTTGCACTTGGCTGCACAGAGCGTGCATGCACATACTATTGACCACTTCTTCGATTTGCAATCAAAGAACTACTGACACACACAAAAAAAATTCACTTTTTTTTGCATTAGGTAGCTTTCGACCCATTTATCGCGGCTGGGTAACCTCGCTCGCACGAGACGTTTTTAGAGCGTCCAGTCTCAGTTTCGTTTTCAAGGAGTACCGACCGAGGCAGGTGAAGTTCCGGGGGCAAGGTAAACACAGTTGGCCACGCGACTAGGCAAAAATGAGACGGCGCCCACGTCACAGCGCAGCCAGCTCACGCCAAGTGACAGGCACGGAGGAAAATAGAGAGTTTTTGTTCTGCGTACGTTGCGTACGTGGCGGCGTTGCGTACGTAAGGACGCCACGTTCTGCGTAGTGCGCATGCGCAGACCGCAACGCGCACGTATCGCGTTACGTACGCAGCCGCTACGTACGCACGCATGAGATGCGTGCGTGCGTACGTATGAGGTGATCGCGCCGCTCTCGAACAAGTTCGCGACAGCGCGAGACTTCGTTTTGCAAAATGGCGGCATCGAAAGCAAGCACCGACCGGCTTTGTGGCTTAAAGTATGGCCATAATCTGGCTACAACACTTGGATTGGCTCACATTGGCTGTCAACAACACGTACTTCTGTTTTGATCTACCAGATGGCGCAACACGCTTCACGCTCGTTACGTACGCGGGTACTACGGCGTACTAAAAGCCGATTAGTGGCAAAGGACGCCACGTAACGCAAGGCGCTTGCGTGATGCGTACGTAGCACCATTCCGCAGTACTAAAACTCTCTAATATCAAAGGTAACGCAAGGCGCGCGTGCCAGTAGCCAGCCAACGCAAACTCGTGACGTAGCTACACTGCCCCTGCGTTGTCGTCGGCGTCGCGACGGTCTACGCATTCTACGTTCACTCACGCGGAGAGTACTTTAGAACTGATTTTAAGTTCTATAGGCTGCATTCGTGCCTGACATTCGTATATGTTGCGTATGTCTACACATAAATCTATCTCGAGCATTATCTCGCCTTCGACATTGTGTGACAGTGCTCTTTTAAGTACACGTTACAGGAAAGAGTACCAGACAGAGCTCGCCGTTCAATGTGCTTTGTATAGAGCATGCATCGTCACTCGGTCTCGTTAGCTTTCGAGAATATTGTACGCTACCACATACCGCACCCTGCATGCTCACCCGCGATAAGAATTGCTATAGGGTGTACTATCAGCGACGTGGTATAGTGTGCACCGTACGGTCATCACCACACAAGCGCACTGCACTGCGCATGTCTGTGGTGATGAGTGGGCCGCGCGCGCTGTGCCATTGCCAATGTCTGCCACTGTTTGCGTTTCATTTGACGCCAATAGTGCATATCTGTTTGGTGTATACGCAAGTTAATCTGCACGAGAATGACGACAAGAAAAAGTGTGCTCACTGGACCCGCTATCGAAGCAACACGTTTCAGGTGTAAAATACACATATCTTCTTAGGCTTCTTTCAAGCACTCTCATATTCTTTAAGTTCCGTAGTAGCGGCAATTTAAGACAACCAGGCGCGCAGAGAAGCTGTAGTGGTCTTCTGGCTCTACCAATCGGAGTTGCCGATGGAGGCGAAGTTTTGCAATACCTTTCAGAGGGTTGGGGAAGATAGATAAACACAACTGACCCAGAATTCCAAGATTTCAGAGGAAGTTGCAGATGTGCGAGAGAGAAAAAACGAGCTACGAAAAGGCAGGCAGGTTGACCGGAAACAAATATCTCGTTTGCTACACTGTAATGGGGAAGGGGGAGAAAGAAAATTGAGGGAGGTGAATGAGAGAGGGGGGGGGAGGGAAGCAGAAGCACTCACTCACGGGAGTGTCACAATCCATTCAACGAGGGGTGTCGCTCGCAGGAACTTGAGGAAGCGCCTTCATCGCTTTCCATGATCCGGGACGAAGTGATGACGTCATCATGCGACGTCACAAAATTTGACGATTTGTGACATTACGTCATATGGCGAAGTCACCACGGGATGATGCGTTGCACCACTCGTGTTGACGCTGCCAACGTTCTCCTCTCGCGTTTGACGAAGCCTCAGGAATCTGAAGCCCTCGCCTTCATTGATTTGTGTGATTTAATGTCCCAAAACCGCCATATGATTATGAAAGACGCCGTAGTGGAGGGCTCCGGAGATTTCGACCACCTGGGGTTCTTTAACATGCACCCAAATCTGAGCACACGGGCCTACAACATTTCCGCCTCCATCAGAAATGCAGCCACCACAGCCGGGATTTGATCCCGCGACCTGCGGGTCAGCAGCCGAGTACCTTAGCCACTAGACCACCGTGGCGGGGCTGAAGCCCTCGCCTTAACAAATCAGTTATTTACGTTGCCGAACATTATTCAGATATGTCGAAGAATGCGTATACGCATACCGTAAAAACCCGCGTATAGTTCGGACCCGCGTATAGTTCGAGGTGTAACTCGGGGATAGCAAACGAGAGAAAAAACATTTTCACGCGAATGTTGTTCGAGGAAAACAGAAAAAATGTATTTATTTGCCTGCAGCAGCTCGATGTGCACAGCGAGTTGTGCAGCTCGTTGCTCCCGAACAAAGTCCGTCAGTTCTCGTTCCACGTCTGGAAATGCTCCATTTTTCGGTCCCCGGAAACTTTTTCTCTTGCCGCAGCATGCAAAATGGGCTTCCTTCTGCTTCCGCCAAGCGCGAATGCTCCGCTCATTCACGCCGAACTGCCGCTCCGCGGCACAGTTGCCGATGGTTTCGGCAGCAGAAATAACTTTCCTCTTAAAGGCAGCCGAGTACTGCCTGCGCGGTCCCGACATAGCTTAAAATCACGGAAGTAAAATCGTGGCCGTCGTGATGTGCGCCAAGTTATTGCAATGGCCACTGTTGCTCGCCTGATGCACGCCTGTACCTGTAGGTCTCTAGGACTAACGCCGCTCACGCTACCACGCCACCTAACGTAGAAGTGCGCAGACACCTGATAATGATGATAGCACCAACCAATGCCGAAACCAAAACTGAATTCGGGCCGAAACTTTTTTTGGGATCCGCATACAGTACGGGGCTGAAATTTCGCACCCTAAATTTTAGAAAAAAACCCCGGGCTATACGCGGGTTTTTACGGTATTCACTGACACCACGTGTGTCGTGAACCAAAATTTGATCGCTTCATTCTTTTTTTTCCTCTCGCATTGTTCCCGACGTGCGCTGGGTCACCGCAGCTGGGCATCTTTGTGACTTGCAGCGTGGACGCCGTCGGACGCACTTCGGTGAGTGGACCTCCGTCGCGCCAGCCACTGTTTCGCGATAGCCACCCTATAGTTCCGGAACTTCTGGAGCGAAGTTATACAGCCACTTTCTTCCGCTTTTTTCTTCCATACTGTTTCTGCACATGCATGTACACTGTCGTCCTTTATGAAAGGAAACACGCATGGCCTGCGCTCTGCGGAGGCTGCCTACATCGCCATCAACCGACATAAAAGAAAACACGTTCGCTTCCAGCGTCATCTGTTGCCAAAAAATAATAATAATAACGAGTTATGGCCGGTACACAAGCGCTGCTAGATTGCACTCCATCTCAGCTCACGTCTGTAGTGCATAGTTCACTGCCAACATATCAAACGTTGTGCGCGACCACGGCGCAAGCTGCAGTAATCACCCGATGTCACTAAACGAGCGCTCAAAAAGGGCGCGCCGCCAAATTCTCGCGACGAAACGCCGGAGTGACGCCGCGAGGTCAACGACTAAAAAAAGAAAACAAGCATCCAAAGACTCCCCGGGCACGCGTCCCTCTCCCCTCAGAAGTGCAGGTTCGCCGACGAACCTCCTCACCCCACATCGGCGGCCGAGCAAGCCCTGGAAATTTTTCGACGGAAAGGGGCGTGGTGACGCCAGGTTGAGTCATCCGTCGCGGACGGCCCCCGTATCGTCTCGCCCTTTTCCCCCAGCCTTCGCTGCGCATCGCGCCGACAAAATGATGATAACCTTCTGGAATCTCGCGCGGAAGGTATTTAATCGAGCAGCCGAGATGGGAGATCAGAAAAAGAAGGAAGTAAACGCCAGAGTGCGTAGGATATCCCGCCGCGTCTGCCGGTGAAGGTTTTGTCCGTAGTGACAAAGCAGGAGAAGAAGAAAGTATGCGCCAGAGAGCGTAGGGTGTACCGCCTCGTGGGCGAAGCCTTTTGTCTTCCGTGACAAAGGAGGAGGAGAAGAAGAGGATTTCCACCGGAGGGGTGAAGGCTCGAGCTACAGGCAAGAGTGTATGTCTACCGCTATCGAGCGAAGACGAGTGGCAACAGCTGCGTGTGTGAATCCGACGTGTTTCCGGTGAAGAAGTTTGAAGCTTGGAGAGTGGCCAATTGAAGACGCGAGGTTTCCTGGAAGAGAAACTTCGGGGGCAGCGGAACGACAACAACGCTGGACTTTGAGTGAGTGATTCTCGAAAGAGTATCATCCAGACTTTTGTTCCAAGAACTTTGGACTGAATAGGTTTTCTATCTGTTTAGTCTTTAAGTGTTTTGATTGTTCAATGCACGCGACTGCATTGTAGTGCGTATTGTTGTCTGTGTCCGTTGTTTCGAGTGTGGCTGATTGTACTGTGCGCTGTATAGCGCGTTGATTGTACTGTGCGTTGTATAGTACGTTGTTTGATTGGTGACATATTGTATGCAACTATTGTGGAGTGTGCATTCTTGTGTATTGTTTTCGATCTGCCATTATTGAGAATATAATTTTGTTTTGGTTATCAACTCTCGGCTCTGAATTGTTCTTTGGGCCACAGCCGGCGTCCGCTGGCGTGCCAAAAAGGACCACTTCTAAATTGTCCACGCTTTCGTGGTGTGGTTCGGGGGCCAATACTTCGGCCCTTGGAATTAGCCCGGCGATCGCCTCCCGAATTAACGGGACCTGTGACGCCCGACATCGCTCGTAATCTAGCAGTGCTTGTCTACCGGCCATGACTCGTTATCTTGCTTGGTCATAGATGACGCCAAAAGCGAACGTACTTTCTTCACTTCTCGGTTGATGGTGTTGTAGGTAGCCGCCGCAGAGCGCAGGCCACGGGTTCGCGTGTTCCCTTTCATGAAGAACGACAGTGTATACACACGCTAGAAATCAAGTGTGTTTTTTTTTGTTGTTGTTGTTGTCAAGCGTTGTATGCAGGTTCGTCCTAAACAGGCGCCCCAGTAAATTTCGCTCGATGCTTCCGCGTAGAATGTCACTTCGCTTATGCGCACCAGACGTCGCTATGCGGAGGCCTTCAAAATTTTCAGTGCATAACGATGACATTAATTGTTCATAGTGTTCAGTCCATGGCATTAGTCTTGAATCGGAGGAAGGCGTTTGGGAGTCACTTGAAACCAAACACTCGCCCTTATTCGGCTATACCTTCCTCACCTTTTCCCTGCGTCGGCGGGGTATCCTTGTGACGAAGGCACATCCTAGGTGCATCGCCCGAAACTTAGAAGAGCACACATCAAGAAGGCCCTTCCATCGGGCGAGACGCAGTCGGGCAGTTGCAATTCCATGCACGTATACCCAGTCGCGTACCAACTCTATCGCGAGTGTGGGGGCTAACCTACGTTAGCTACCTCACTCGTCAGCCGGGAGATATATATATATATATATATATATAGCAGAGCCTACAAGGAAAACCGTCACAGCGGCAATTTTGGCAAAACTACACTATGTTGTAACATAGTCTCGTAACAATTTCATTCATTCGTAAGACCATGATTGAGTGATTACTGTTGTAATGGAAAAATACGCCTTACTTGTTGGTTTCTCCAGCCTGCAGCCAAGAGTGACCATTGTCAAAAGTGGGGAAAGGGGGGGCTCAGCCCCCCACCCCAACTTTTGTCAGTGGAGGGGGGCTCGCGTTCCCCTTGCCCCCCCCCCCCGGCTGATACGGCTATGCACGTACCACTCACGCACAGCTATTTTTCACACTGTACCATTCATTTTCAAGACGTTGCGTTTTGCCACATCATGTGGTGCGCGAACACGACCGCTTCTATGCCGGCGGCAGGAAGGTTGCGGCGACAGCAGAGCTGCGGGCCATTTTCCCGGACCATTTTCCCAGGCCATTTTCCCAGGTCATTTTCCCGGGCCATTTTCCCGGGCATTCCCCTGGGTGGAGGGGGGCAGTACGGGCGTTATTCGGGAGAAAAAGGACGAGCGCTAGAATAGGCGGTGCGCGTCTTTTGCATGTTTCGCATATTTCGTGCGCTTTCGTTTTTCCTTGAAAAAAAAATTCAGCCTAAGCAGAATTCAGCCTAAGGTGGATGCTTGGTGCTGGGGTTATTTGAGGCGAGGTACATTTTACCGATTCAAGCAAGAGTAAGAAGTTTGCTAATTAAAGTCAGTTAATTAGCGCTGTGTTTATATAAAACAAGTTGTGTGTTGCTCACGCTTACCACTAATAAGAACCGAAACTATAGTTCAAATAAGGCTGTATTGGCTGATACATGCTTTTTAGTTTCATCTAAAACAGTAGTAAATTACTAATTATTATTTATTAACCATAATTGTTTTAGAACAAAGTTGAGGATATGTATGAGCCAATATAGTCTAATTTCACTTAATTCCGATTCTGCATATGGTCCATTAAAAAAAGAAGAGCTCCTCCCATAAATATTCCGAAAAGAAAAAAAAATAATTCAGAGAAATATTTTCCGGAGAGCAGATTGAAACCTACGAGCAATCGTTTCGCGTTAGACTGCTCGACCACGGAGCATGCGTCCTCCAATGTACTAAGCTATTTATTATGCACCGTTTATCACTGGCGGAACGCAGAGTACGGGGGCCATTCTGCGCGTTCTCCGCCTCACCGGCGAGATGGCGCTAAGGACGTGCTGTGAAGGTGGCCGTCCCCTCGCTGCGATGCAGGCGCTCCCGAGTCTCCCTGCTTTGCACCCGTGTGTGATAGCTTACTTTTATTTATTTATTTATTTATTTATTTATTTATTTATTTATTTATTTATTTATTTATTTATTCAATACTGCAGACTCAAGGTCCGAGCAGGGTGGTAGTACATATACAAATACTAATAAAATAATTGCGAAACGAAATAATAAAGAACGAAAAAGGTTGTCTGGTAGGGTAATTCATTCGTCACATGTATCATCTCGAGATGGTGGCTTCTGCTTTTGATTACGCTGAAGGTACACAGCGCACGAAGGTCACTTCGCTCGCTGCCGCGGCCGTGTTTGCGAAAGGAGCGCGCCTCTCAAACACAAAGTTACAACTGCGGCAGTTCGCGCTTGTCCTATGTAAACCTTTAGGGTTCGTTTCGTGCGCCCTTGTGCTTGAGCAGCGCGCCGCACGTTACGAGCTGCTTGCGTTTCTTCGCGCGACATTAAAATTTATTGCAAGTGAATCAATTTCTTGCGGAAAAACTGACTTTTTTTAAGTGACGTCCACTGGCGTGGCCAGGGGGAAGGAGTGTTCACCCGCGCCCCCTGGTATTCTACCTTGCATGTTACATATGCATGTGTGCACGCATACAAAGGTGAAAATTAGTTTATAACCACCTCCGAAAAAATCTTGGCTACCCCCTGGTGACGTCACATTCATCACTGAAAGGACACAATTATTTATGCCCGGCATATGCACAAGGTTTATAAAATATATGTAAGCGACTGACCGAAGCGTCATGTAAATGTGCCCTAATGCCATTTGAATTTTGCGAAAATTCATTTGTGCCATCTCCTGTAATGTGTGTGCTGACTTGGCATCAACTCCCTCTGGACAACCGCAATGTGCGTCTGGTTCATGCAGGGCAAGGGCGAGCAAGATCCGGACTTTTTGCAACGCACCAAAGCCTACAAGGTATGCATACTCCAGTACTTGGCAGCCTGATAGGGTAGGAATGTAACAATAACATGAGCAACAGGTCATAAAATCAGTATAACATGACATACTTCACTTCACTTTATCACCTTAAAGACCCCGGTGAGGGGGTATTACATAAGGGGGTATTACATAAGGGGGTTCGTCAGTTACATCAGCATTAAGAATACCCGAGTTAGATACGTGGGCATGAACCACACGTATAGATCCGTACAGCCACGGTAAAAAGTTCCCACGTCACGCTTCCATAAAAATACGTGAAATTGTGGCCTAGGAACTCTACGTTCTAGAAGGTACCGATACCTAGTTTCGAAGCTGAAATTACTCTGACATATAAATCTCTTGTACACAGAGAAGCCGGCTGTGAGCAAAGGTGAAAGTCGGTGACATGTTTAGACTTATCAGTCAACTATCGCGTCGCGCACGTACTTTGACGCCAAAACTATCGTGGCGGGTGGCCAGTGTCGATTCTGGCGGAGCCAACAGTATACACAGCATTGCCGCGCTCAACAGAATCGCGCGCGCACTGGCAGAGGAGTGGCGGAGGCAGACACCTTGCGATGGGGGTACGCCTTTGCCATTAGTCGCCTAACTTACGCGCTACCCTTTTAATGAGCCATGTGCCGAAGCGAGACCGATCAGGTGGACAAATTCGAATCGTGCGGAAGGCGGATTTCCCGGAGTGTACCAGCACGGAGTGCCGACTGGTGCAATAGGAATGCTCACCCGTGAAAAACCACGTCCGCACTGGAAAGACGCGCGCGTCCTTCTAGACCAACCGTGAAAGAACTCGCCGCAGCAGCCACGATAATGATCGATCAGCGAGAGCACCCGAGCGCGACGCCCAGTGACGTCGTTTCATGACAACGTAGAGTTTGATTGATTGATTGATTGATTGATTTGTGGGGTTTAACGTCCCAAAACCACGATATGATTATGAGAGACGCCGTATAGTGGAGGGCTCCGGAAATTTCGACCACCTGGGGTTCTTTAACGTGCACCCAAATCTGAGCACACGGGCCTACAACATTTCCGCCTCCATCGGAAATGCAGCCGCCGCAGCCGGGATTAGATCCCGCGACCTGCGGGTCAGCAGCCGAGTACAGTACCTTAGCCACTAGACCACCGCGGCGGGGCGACAACGTAGGTTGGCGCAAAACATACAGCAAACAAGAAAAAGGCGCCGTCTGTTGAGACGCCCGCATTGTACCCCCTGGCTCCGCAATAGTTGAGGGGACAAGACTGGCACCACACGCACTGAGAACACGGCTACACGTAAAACCCCTTGCACGCAACGTGCACGCTATACATACCACGCAAGACAAATAGGCAACGTGCGATCACGGCTCCATGATCAGTACACCAGGACGACTAGGCACCTCAACCATCGCAACGACGGAAGCCTCGGCTATCGCCCTGGCCATGCGGGCCTGCACGTGACACGTCAGGGTGGCAGCTTCGTAGCGCATTGGTTCACCAACATGGCGGCCTTGATGACGTAAACATGGAGGAAGAAAAAAATAAAGGAGGGAGCACGATGTCACGCCGCCAGCCCATTTGCAGGTCAAGCCATTTTGAAAACAGCAGTGTAAGTACACGTGACTTTTTCCGGCAAGATATATTACTCGAGCAACGACACTTGCCGAGACTTGCCCCCGTGTTCAGAAACGCTCCTCGACTTGATTTCCACCCTTCACTTGACAAAGTTGAGCACTGCGCCGCTGCTCGGTTGAAAATGACGCTGCGCTGCACGAGAATAGCACCACATTATCGGGTGATATGCAGTGACTTGGCTGGCCTAGTGAGGGCGCTTCCATCGGCTTTCTGAAGTGAAGGTGAAGCGTTGAGTGAATGGACGTTCTAGAATATGGTGGATTATGGGTATGGCGCGCGGTAGCTTTTAAATCTACGAGTGGTGGTTCGGTGCAGATTGGCCGACTGAGGCAGAAGGTTTACAAATGGAACCACCACCGTGAATACCGCGCGCGTTTTGATCACGTGATGGGCCGACACGGTGGGCTCCACTCGCGTGACGTAATACGTCCTCTTTTCTTGTTCCTTCCTCCACGGAAGTAAAGGCAGCATAAACCCGTCACTTTTAACTTGTTTCATTGTGATATGAAGGCGAGGCCAGAGTTTTATTCTATTGGTCTCGGGGGTCCAAAACAGGATAACTTGCGAGCGATGTAGCGATAACGCGACGTCACAAACATTGCGTTTTTTAAGTGGTGCACCAACATGGCGGTCTCAGTGACATCAATGCAAGACACGTGTCAACACGTATGTGACGTAGTACGTGAACACAGACTTGACATACAAGTTTCAGCGAGTTCTGTCCAGCAATCATCACCAAAACACGAAGAGAAGAAAGAAAGCTTGAATTCCGTAACCATACACGTGCGGAGATGTCGGCGCGAAATTTAAAATTTGAACGTCCACGTCAATCTTGGATGAAATTGACCACATTGAGTGTTCTGAGAAAATAACTAATCAGTCTAAGCAAATTTACTGCTTCAAATTAGTGTATTTTAAAAAGACACTCAAAAAGTATCGAGATAGCCGAAGTCTGTTTTTGATTGTTTGTTTTTTTTTTCCCTTGGTCCGCAGGCTTGCGTGCTGAACGGACTACAAGGCACAGTGCCAGCGGAAACCGACCCATACGCGTTCGATAAGAATCGCAAGAAAAAGACACGCCGACTCGCCGACCCTTCCATGGAAGGCCTGTTTAACAACGTGTTTTCCCGCTACGCACACGACTCACTTTCTCTCTTTCTCTCTATCTCTCCCTCTGTGTGTGTGTTTGGCTGCCTCAGCGGCTTGAAGCACCGTAACAGGAAAACGGAAGCGCACACTAAAGTGACGATATTCCGAAGGCTTCAAAGCGAAACGAGCGGGGGGATGTTTGCGGAGTGACTGAAGGAAGAACACGGCATATAGCTCAAAAAGGAAATTCCAGTTCTAGCAGTGGAATGCAATAACGGTTCACAATAGGGAGTTTTAGACTAGCGCGCCGCCAGCCCTTGCGGTGCACGCGGTCGCTGCGCACGCGTCCTAACGCGAGGCGCCGTTCGCGTTTACGGCCCGCCCGCAGAAAATTCGAAATAGCGGGTGGCGTGTGCGGACCGCATGCGGCTCGTAAACGTTGGTAGGGAGTTTTAGAATACCGTTTGCAAGCGCTGCGGGCGTTGCGGGTGCCATAAGAGCTTTAGAATAGCGTTTGCCCTGCTGCGAACCGCAACGCACGATCGCAGCGACACCGTAGCCTCGAAACCAGTGCTTGCAAGCCACATGCGGGCCGCCATCACCGCACGCAATTGCGAATCTTCTGCGTGCTGTCCGCGAACGCCGACTCGCGTTACGACGCATGCGCAGTGGCAGCGACCGCACCGCAAGGGCTCGCGGTGCGCTATTCTAAAACTCCCTGGTTTCGAGGCTACGGTGCCGCTGTGATTGTGCGTTGCGGTTTGCAGGAGGGCAAACGCTATTCTAAAACTCATGTGGCGCCAGCTATTCCCGCAAACGTTATTCTAGAACTTCCAAACTTTTTAATAACGATCCACTGTTATGTTATAACGGTTCGGGGAGCAGGCTTATATAGAATGGTGCGACAGACGCTGGTTAGGGCAGCGAGGAAGTGGACGCAACTTGCACGGCACACAAACATATATTCAAAAAGAAAAGTTGGCAGATCCCACGTATACAGTGGGAATCGATGATATGCGAAGCACGAATGTGGAAGGCTGATAGGTCACTTTAAAATCAGCACAACGTCGAGAGGCGGAGGTAAATTATGCCGTAATGATGTCTTCCATGTCATGATTATCATCTTTGGACGTTTCATTTACCTTCAGCATCTATTAACGTTACCTAATAAGCAACTTTGGTATATATGAAGCTAGCGAAACCGTCCACGAACGTGCTATGAGCGTAGCATGTAGCCATGTTTGACGTGAAATCCATATCATGATTATCATATTTGGACGTGTCATTTACATTCATCGTCCATTCGCGTCACGCAATACCGAATTTGGTATATGTGGAACTAGTGAAACGGCCGCGAGAACGCTATGAGCGTAGCATGTATAGTCATATTTAACATGAAACGCATATTATGATTATCAGGTTTGCACGTGTCATTTTATTTACCTTCGTGGTCTATTCACTTCCCGCTATACCAAATTTGGTACATGTGGAGCTAGCGCAACGGTGGCGAGCGCGTCATGAAGGGCCCAATATACTCCGACGCAACGTTGACGCACGCGGAGGTTGAACGCAGTGACGTCACGCTAGCAACGCGAGCATGGCGTCAACAGCGTGACGCCAGGCGCGACCAGCGTCCGTCGGCGCTGCCCGGCGCGAAATGCGACATGCTGCATTTCGCGCCGACGACGAGAACAACTTTATTTTAAAATAAAAGAACCCCAGTCCGGGTCTACTAAAAAAAAAAAAACTATTCATCAGACAGGCCTAGAAGTTGCAAATGCTGGAGCAGTGTCTTCATGTTGTCCGGGGAGGAGTCCGCCAGCCACTCCTCCAGGGTCTTAGGTTTATGGGTATGTGCTTGAGGCTCTCGCCCAAGGCTGCGCGACCACCCGGACGATCCCGCAGAACGTGAGCATTATCCGGGAAGCCACCACATGCCATGCAAGCAAGAGACGACGATGTTACTTAGAAAGCGCCGCGTCTGTCTCTCTTCGTGACGGACGGACGCCGGACATGCTGAAACACGCATGAGTCAAAGCAACGCAACGCGGCGCCCACCTGCGAGTATATGGCATGCAGATCCACAATGAAGGTCAGTGGGTAGATCCACTGATCTCTCTACTAGGGGGATATCTGCACCTGGCGTGGCATCGCCGGCGTGACGCGATAAAACGAACGCCGCTCCCGTCGAACTGTATTGGCGCCTTGATTGTGGCGTGTATTAATGTTCTTGCATGACATGCATCTCATGATTATCATGTTTCCATTAGCCACATACCTTCGTCATCCATTCACGTGACGTAATACCAAATTTCGGCGTATGTGAAGGTATCGAAACGGCCGCGAGCGCATCATGAGTGTGGCTGTGGTCATGTTGTTACATGACACGCGTTTCGTGATTATCACGTTTGAACCAGTCACATACCTTCGTCATCCATTAATGTCCCGTAATACCAAATTCAGTATATGCAAAACTAGCGAAACGGCCGCGAGCACCTGACGAGTGTGGCATGTAGTCATGTTGTTACATGACACGCATGTCATGATTTTCATGTTAGGGTCTGTCGCTTATGTTCACCATGCAGTCATGTCATACCATACCAGTTTTGCAACATCATGTGAATGAAACCACCGCAAGAGCAGCAAGACCATGACATTTATGACATAGATGTCATGGTTTTCATGTTATGACATGTCAGTTATGTTTTTCATACAGTAATGCTATATTCGTTTATAGCTTATATTAGTGTTATATAGTTTGGTATCGATACTATTATCCAAACGGCCAGAAGAGCTAAAAGTCGTAGGCGGCTAGAGATTGATACGCTCTAAGTCGCTGAAGTTCGCCAAGAAATGCTTCGCATTTAAAATATCACACACGAGAGAGAGAAAGAGAGAAAACTTTATTAAAAGGTCAGTCAATTGTTCAGGCATGGCCCGTCGCCCCTAGCTGTCGGCCGGAATCCCTTGGGACGCGGCAGCAGCAAGGGCTTGACTGATGATGTCGCGCTGGACGTTGGGATCTGGGCTGCAGAGCTGGGCCTCCCAGGATTCTACAGTGTGAGAACCATCGTTTCGACTTCGACATGTCCACACCATGTGGACCAAATTCGCTACCTCATCACAAAATTTACACTGGGACTGGAAAACTGCGGGGTACCACTTGCTGTAAAGTGCGGGGTTTGGAAAAACCCCGGTCTGTAACTTTCGCCACAAAACCTCGTTTTTCTTACTTAGTGAGTTGTCCGCTCTCGGGTATACTTGCCGATTCAGCCTGTAGTGTGCGACGATTTCATGGTATGTGCGCATATACTCGCTTCTTTGTTCGGTAACTTGGGAGGTTCCAGGGGTCGACCGGTAGGTGAGACCTCGGGCGACGGAATGAGCCTCCTCGTTCCCTCTAAGTCCTTGGTGAGCTGGAGCCCAGTCAAGCAGAACCTGCTCATTGGGTACTCTTACCATGTTTAATATACGGACGGCAGTCTCCGTCACCCTTCCCAATTCATAATTTCTCACAGCGTTTTTGGAGTCGCTGATGACCACCCTGATCCCCTTTTGGCTGATGGCCAAAGCTATGGCCACTTCCTCGGCCTCTACAGTCTCGACACCAAGGACTGTGCAGCACGCAATCAGGCCACCATCTTCCCTGACCGCCACTGCCGTGTGTGCCGCTTTGCTTTGATATTCCGCAGCGTCTGTATACGCGACGTCCTATCGACCGGTGTACCTGGATTGTAATGCCTCTGCCCTGGCTTTACGCCTGCCTTCGTGAAAGGTAGGGTTCATATTTTTGGGTAGCGGAGGTATCTTTATCCTGTCCCTGATCTGTATCGGTATGTCTTTTGAACGCGCCTGCTCACGCGTGGGCTCATAGCCCAATCTCTTTAATATTGCTCTCCCCGTTTTAGATCCGAGTAGTATTTGATGTTGTGCAGTCACAGTAGCCACAATTAGCTCATCGAGTGTGTTAGATACCCCGAACTTCATAAGTCTGTCAGTTGACGTGTTTGGGGGAAGCCCGAGCGCGACTTTCACACTTTTCCTGATAATGGTGTCGAGTTTGCCCCGCTCCGCTTGGTTTAATTTTAAATAAGGTGCCACGTACACTATCCTACTTATTATGAAGGTCTGCACTAATCTAAGAAGGTTCGCCTCCTTCATCCCAGCATGCCTGTTTGCTATTCGTCTGATGAGACGACATGTCTGATTAGAACTGGCTTCCAACCTAGTAAGAGTTTCAGAATTCTTACGGTTCGCCTGAATCCTTAGTCCAGGGACACGGATACTGTCGACCGCGGGGATCTCTGCGCCGTTAACATACAAGTGGATGTCCACTTCAGGCCTGTTGATCACACACGAGATATATACAAAAACTCCCAAGCATTTCAGCGAGAGTGAACATGGTTTAGTGCGAATGCACGGGGTGATATTGTGAGGGGAAGTAAAGTTAAAATCCGTTGGCATTCGCCAGTGAGTTAACGTAAACTCCCCCGTGTGATCACATTGCGATTCCCAGGAACCATTAGACCCTCTCGGGAAATCTTGGTGAGTTTACGCGTATATGTGAGAGTAAATTCGCACTAAAATGATGTTTATGTCCGCGGCCCGCTTCGCCCGGTTGCGCTCGGCATCACGGGCCCTTCGCCGCGCTGCCTTGTCTTTAACCTGCGCGACATCTTCAACGACGCGTGCAATGCTCGCATTCGATTGCGTTGTACTCGTTGTTGGAGGTATCGCAGTCGAGGTTGATGCCTGCGATGGATCCATACCTATGACGACTTGCCGATCTCGAGCAAGTCGTGGCTGCGCGCGCAGCCACAGAGCGGAGGGCGGAGCGCGCGCAATCACGTGGTGTGTGACGTTCTGCACCGTCGCTACAAACGCTCCTCTCCGCTTCTCGCGCCGTTGCTAGGGGAGAGGAGGAGGCGCAGCACGGACGGCGGATTCAGGGTCGCTTATAAAGTACATTCGCCCTTAAAACACAGCACTATAATGAACACGAGAAGCATCTTTAAAAACTGTCCAAAGAAGCGCCGCGCTCACGCTATGGGCCTTGACTCGATGGTCGTGGTTGCGTCGCGGATCGTGGACGCTGTCGGGTGAGGGCCAGGAGGGATGCCGTAGGTGTTGCGTCCGCTGGGTGCCAGAGCCATGTGCGGAGTCCTTCGGCCGTTTACGTCCGACGAGGTGCCTCTGACAACATTGCCCTC